CCTTTTCTATGCATATGTATTTTTTTAATTTAATATAAAAAGAGCCCTACCGTAAATACTATACCACAGACTTTTAAAAAAATGAAACATAATGGGGCACTTGGGTGGCTTAGTTGGTTAAGTGTCCGACTCTTGATTTCGGCTCAGGTCATGATCTCACAATTGTGAGATCAAGCCCTGCATCAGACTCCGCACTGGGCATGGAGTCTGCTTAGGATTCTCTCTCTCTCCCTCTTCCTCTCCCCTGCTCATGCATGCATGTGCATATTCCCCCTCTCTCTCAAAAAAAACAAAATCAAATGAAACAAAACAAAAACCTTTCATGGGCATGTCTTCTTCTCAGATATATAGATATGTTTCTAAGGACCTGATTAAATATGCTATAATTCACTCATTCCCCTCTTAGCACACTAGTTGTTTCTTTACTATTCTAAAATACAGCAGTAAATACTCTGTATTTCTGTAATTTCTTCAATTACGGAGACTCACATGTCTCCTTTTCAAAATAAGGGTAATTAAAAACAAGAAGTATTATTGTGCTAGTTAAATTTTTAAAAAAATTCTAAAAAGGGAATGTGTAGGTCGATATTCTTCCTCTTCATTCTACCCACTTTCTGAGGTATGGAAATACGATGTTGTCATGGAATGTTACTTCCTAATAACTGAAGCTGATGGGTTATAACTGTGTTCCTTTCAGATGACTGGTATAGCCTGGACTGTACCGGCGCCTGTGGGAGATGCTGGGCCTCCTCCCAGTGCAGGTCTGGGAAGTGACCCCCCCATGATGAATTGGGAGAGGATTATAGACAGGCTGAAAACTGCTTTTCCACAACAAACCAGGTACCTTAATTTTTATTTAGTTGTGAGTACAGATCATACTCTACGTTTTCCACCACCATAATTAGGGGAATGAAACCAACATACACACAAATATATTTCCTTTCCATTGCCTTGGTAAGGAAAATGAAATTTAAAGGGATAGTGTCCAATATAAATGCTAAGCCTCTTCACTAAATATATTAGTCTTAAATTATGACAGAATAGATTTTTAAATTTAGGTTTGCTCATTTACTAAGAAGTATAACTAGTCATAAGCCTATCCAATTTTAATGCCACCAGTTACAATAATTAATAACCTCTTTCCAAAATGAATTTTGATTGTATGCTATATATATATATATAAGCCCAAACATCAGGTTTTACTTTCCTATTTCCTTAATTTTATTTAGGGCTCTTAGTTTTTGTTAGGGAACACAGTTAAATGCAAGAAATAATTATTTTGCTGTGGTTTTCACAGTTCTGACTTTAGCAGAAAGATATTTTTCTTCTCCAGAAATGAAGTTTTTTATCCTTTTGTATTTAAGGAAATAATTCTAGTTTTTAACCAGTATTTTCATTTGAAGGCTAACACTTTTATTTAATGAACATATTGTTATGTTTCAGGATTATGGTTTTCTAAATATAGTGAACAGACAATGAAAATAGAACTGTAATACAGTTACAAGTATATGTACATATAAAATGAATAGTAATCCAAGGTAGTTTACCAGGCTGATGACCTGACACTTCATTTGGGAAAGAAAATATTTCATCCTATTCTATCCTACCAAAAATGTATACAGACTTTGAGTCAACGGAATATGGGATTTGAAAAGGAATGTATTGATTGTGTGATAAACCTACATTATTTTAATGTGTCTTCTAGCTTCTCTGTTCAGTTTTAATTTTGTAAAACTCAGAAACAAAACAAAGATTAAATATTAACACAGAAAAGAGACCTATAGTAACCCAAGTTAAAAGGAGTACTTTAGTCCTGAGTAAGAGCAGTTAGAGACATGATATAAAGAGCTTAGTACATAAGTAAGTAGATAACAACCTCAATTTTCATACAGTAAGTTTTCAAAAACAGTTAAAGTTCTTTTTTGGAAAGAATAAATATTAAATAAACTTGAGTTTTCATTTTGGTTTAAGATAAATTTAGGTAGACTTTAGATCAGAGACCTAAAGGGCCACATCTCTATTCTACATACCCATCATACGATAGGATTTTGTAACTTGTATAGAGGGCATGCTCTCAAGGCAGTAGGAAAAATCACCACTGCTCTTTATTTGACCTCTTCCAGAAAGGAGCTTACGGATTTCTTACGGAAATTGAAGGACATTCATGGAAAATCCTTATCTGGACTGACATTTGATGAAATTGTATACAAGATTTCCCAATTTATTGACCCCAAGAGATCACAGGTAAAAAACAAAAACAAACACAAACCTGTATCAGGTAGTTAGCAGTCTTAATTATCTTCATGTCTGTTCCAATAACCTGTAATCACATTAAACATCTATTAAAAATTGAACTTCAACTTAAATGGTATAGTAAGTCTTTTTGAAATACTACCTGATCATTCTCGAATAAAAATGATCCTCTTGGAATTGATTCTAGGTTACTTTGACTCTAAAGGAAGACATTATTTCTAATTTTTGTAAAGACTTGTTTTAATTAAAAGGGCATATAGAGTTGTTTTTAACTTGGCTTTGAGTATACAAGTAATATTACTAACGTTTTATTTCAGGATTTTTCACAAATCTAATTGACCTTTATCCTTTTGCTAATTCTCACTGTACCCTATTTTCTATGCTATCCTACCAATTCTTCCTGTTTTTGAACACTTCTGAAAAAAAAAAAAAGTAAGTATAATATTCTTATTTTCAGAGTCAAGGAAAATCTGTGCCAAATGGTAACTGTGTTTCACCCAGCCACACTCCTCCACAGTCTAATGCTGCCCAGCCCCCCAAACCAGCCTGGAGGCCCCTTAGTTCACAAGGGCCTGCCACATGGGAAGGAGACAATAATTTGGTGAGAATGAGACTGTTGATTCTAAATACATTTAAATTTGGGAGAAAGAAAGGAGCTGCATTGGGCCTTCTGTGTGTATTTTCCCTAGGATGAAGAGGAGGAAGAAGAGGAGCCTTGTGTGATTTGTCATGAGAATCTCTCTCCAGAAAACCTCTCAGTTTTGCCTTGTGCTCACAAATTCCATTCTCAGGTAACCCTTTAAACTTATCTTTTTAAATATTTTTCCATTTAATCAACTAAGCAAGATTCATACTGCCTTACTTGAAGTCATTTATATGTATCATGGCTATAGCTGTGTTACGAATTCCATGGGAAAGAACTCCAGGCTTTGGAGAACCACACAGAAACATTGATGCCTGTTTTCCCCATACTTAGCCCCACTTTGCACCGTGCTTTCTCAGATCTCTACATACCTTACACGAAAAGAGAGACAGTGATGAAATTGAAATAATACAGAGTAGTTTCAAATAGAACTGGAGGGAATGTTGATTGACACAGCAACTGTGTCACTTCATCTCAATTTGCTATAAATAACATATAGTGTCCTTTGTTCCCATTTACTGATGACCCCTTCCCTTAGAAAGCAAAAGACTCACCTTAACAGTCTTTCTGGGCCTTGTATTTGCTTTTTAGGTGCTCAAGTTTCAGTTTTGATATTAGAAAAATCTGAGACTGGCATATCTTTTGCTGATTCTTGGCATTTGTATAGACTAATTTCTGGTGTTGCTGTGCAAATGCTATTGATATACAATTTATGATCCAAGTCTAATGGTGCAAAGATGTAATTTGACCCAGGAAAAGATAATCTTACATACACTTCTCAGGGAAGTGAACAGTAAGTAGCCAGCTCATTCAAGCCGTATATGTATAACGTGACACATAGTTTGTATCTACTCTGATATGAAGAAGTAGACACAGAATGGCTACTCCCAAAAGACCAGGAAAGATACTTAGCCATTTGAAGCTTCCATTTAGAAAATAAATGTTTAATGAAACTTCTTATTCTTTGCCATTGCCTGTAGAATAGAAAGCAGGTGACCCACTGAGGTTATTTTTCTAGGGTTATTACAATTAGTGAGCCTAATATATAGTGCCTATTCTTTTTTCTGTTTGTTTTTAATTTACATCCAAGTTAGTTAGCATATGGTGCAACAATGATTTCAGGGGTAGATTCCTTAATGCCTCTTACACATTTAGCCCATCCCCCCTCCACAACCCCTCCAGTAACCCTCTGTTTGTTTTCCACATTTAAGAGTCTCTTATGTTTTGTCCCCCTCCCTGTTTTTATATTATTTTTGCTTCCCTTCCCTTATGTTCATCTGTCCTGTGTCTTAAAGTCCTCATATGAGCGAAGTCATATGATATTTGTCTTTCTCTGACTAATCTCACTGAGCATAAAACCCTCCAGTTCCATCCACGTA